TTCGCCGACAAATGGCAGTCGCTCGGACGGTATAGTTCGCTTGCGGGCTAGAGGCCACGGAACTTGTTTGTTTTTGTTGTTTAATATCGTCCTGTCGTTCGAGAGAGAGAGACTGACGACGTCAGTTGGATAATTGCAGATAAGTAAATAAAATAGCGGAGGTAATGGGTCTCACTAGAATTCGGGACGTGCTCGGTTTATATGCTGGGTGGAGACCATTTCTTCCTTGAGCTGGCTTACATTTCCCGTAACTGTGTCCGGGCTAAAGTCTTAATTAGGTAACGGCCGTTTGTATCATGGTACGGTATCCACTTTTTTTCTTGGCACTACAGCCCCAGTGGGCCTAAGCCTACCTCCATGAACTCCGTTCACTTCGGTTTTCCTAGATCTTAGACATACGGTAGGACTCCTTGGGCGGGTGATCAGCTCGTCGCGTACACAAACACAGAAAAACGCACACACACTAACTAAACATCCATGCCCTGAGTGGGATTCGAATCCACGATCCCTGCTTCCGAGCGAGCGAAGACAGTGCACGCCTTAGACCGCTCGGCTACCGTGACCGGCACGGTATCCATTTATGATGTAGATATACATTTAGATTCGTATGATTTTTTAATTGGTAACACGCATATCAGATCGCATTTGGATAGTGTCTTTTGCCTCTGACAATTGAAATAGACACAGTTGAGTACTCGTTAATTTTTCCTTTTAAATTTGGTTGTTTATTTAGTTATCTGGTGTACTTAGCTCCTTGAAACTTGTAATTAAATACCGACTTCTGGCGTGACATTGTGAACGGCCTTTGTCCATTATGTTGAGCATAACTTCTGTAATCTGTCGTGTGATATCACGGGCATACAGTGTAGTGAGCATCTTGTTGTGCGCATGTTCCCATGGGCATGTCTTGTGATCTCCATGACAATGTAAGTTTACATTCGGTTAACTATATAAGAAGCGCTTCCGTGAGAGGTGCAACAGTGCATTCCATTGGAATGCATGCATTGGCACTTGTGCGATGCTCAAGCGAATGGTTGTGTTAGTAAATTTGACCGCAAAGTACTGGCGTTTTGTGTGCTAGCGTGTTTACACATATTGTGTGTCATACTTGCCGGGAGGATTTTGTTCAGATCTCTCTAGTTAGTTAGTTATTGGAGAGGGTGGGTTTCCCCATGCACTTAGACCTGTAGTGGTCCATTGTGCTTCCCTCTATGATTTCTCCCAGCCTCTATATCCTACCGGTACTGGTGCTTACCATCAGTCCCGCCCAGCCAGCGAGACTGGCCCTACTAGCTGAGAGGTATCTATAATGCTTTCCCCATCTACCAGAGGTATTAGTTAGTGACTGCTGTTGGGCGGCAAACGTCCGCAGTTTTGCTCAGTGACCTCCTTTGGAGGTATGAGGTTCTTTTACGTCCCGTAAAGCTACGACACGGGACCCACGGCTTAAAGTCCCTCCCGGAGGACTTGTTCCCTGAATTTTTCCGCCCTTAAAAATTCGACGACCTCCGCCGGGTATTTGAACCCGCGTACTACCAGTCATGAGGTGGCAACGTTACCTCTAGACTACGGAGGCCGCTTCAGATCTATCTAGCTTTGTTTCTGGTGGGAAAGAGTGGGTAGATATTGACATCCATTGTGCCCTGAGTTACTCGAAGCCATATCCTGTGTTGTAGTCGCGTTAAAAAGGTGAGGTAAAGTCCCTGTGCTTAACGATTTAAGCACTGCGGTGAGTGAATGTATAGATCCACATTTTCTTGATCTCGGCACTAGCTGGAAATGAGTGATAGGCTTCACGCCCCGGCCTCTTTACCCACGGTACCCATTTGATAGGAGGTTGGGTGGGCCCCAGAGCCGGTCTGTACGACTTCGAGAAGTGAAAATTCTTCACCCTACCGGCACCCCTCAGCACGCTGTACCGTAGTTGGCCGTAATTGGTTGTGGCACAATGCTACAAGCCGGAAGTTCGCAGGATCGAATCCGGATGAGGTGGTTTTTTTCAATTGACCCAATCCTTCCAGCCCCACTAGGGCCCTGGGGTGGACTCAGCCTCTAACAGAAATGAGTACCAGGAATCTTCCTTGAAGTAAAGGTGCAGCCGGCGCGTATGGCTGACATCCTCACTGCCATCTGTGAGCCGATTGTCGAGAAAATGTGGGAGCCTCGACCTCTCACAACTCTATGGGCTTCCGCGGCCTGTTTCGGGACCCCTCATCGTTCAGCCTGTAACCAGTCGTACCGACTACCCAACCCCGGCTCATAGTGACGTTAACATCCAGGAAAGGGATACTGAATTACAAGTTACAAAATGAAATAGACAAGTAGATTTCACCAGTTTAAACAGAAGAGAATAATGCATACCATTCAGGTTACCAATACCATGTAACAGAAAACCTGCAAGCAGAACATCAGTTTTTAATTTGGATTTTTTCACTGTGATGGCCGTTTGTACCTACGTGTGCTGGGATTACGTGGAAGGAAGTTATCGTGGCATGTTTTGAAATACTGACCCAGCATTTGCCGACTACGCCAGTCACAGTACGTTCGGTAATGAAAGAAGACTGAACGCTTTACGCCTGGACAACACGTTCAGTTTATGCGGATTGTTGGTCCCTCAGTTTCGCAGCGTATGTCAATCAGCATTTCCCGATAAATAGAATGTGCTTCATAAATTTCGTTATCTTCAAGTCTTGAAAGAGAACTACAGCAAAACGTGTAGCGCTGTAACCACAGATTTAGCCTCGCGGATCCACAGTACGCATTTAGCTTTTTATTCTTGAAATTATAGCGGGTAGGCTAGGGGCCGGACGAGTGAGGAGCCGGAGTTCAATTCCCCGATAGGGCAAGAGAATTTTCTTTTCTCCATAAAACCCAGAGACGGGGTTCGGGGTTGCTCCAGCCTCCTATACCCTGGGCGCTGGGAGCTTTACCCAGTGGTAAAGCGGCAGGGACTTGCAGCTGACCACTCAACCACATTTGTTGCCGATGTCAAGAGTAGTGGATCTATACCTTCACTCATCCATACTTGTTAATGGCCTGATGCATGATTGAATGATCCTAGTAATAACCTTGCCTTTACCTACTTGACATGTGACCTTTACAGCTGAGAGCGTAGCTAGCGCGTCAGGCATAAAGATCNAGTACTGTGCCTTGCTTACGTCATATCAGCAGCGTAGTAACTTAAAACGGCAGTAAGCTCGACCGACGAGAAGTTTAATCTTATATTGTGTGTGTAGCTTGAGAATTTATTCGGTTATATAGTCAGGATGCATTGCGGCTGTCCCCACAACCGGCTCGTGTTGTATTCTGTAAGGACTGACGGTAAATGTTTGCGTTTCTATTGTGGCTTCTCTCGGAGGAGTGGTATCAGGCTTGTGCTGCTCGCAAGAAGTGTATCTTCTCCGGGAGATCTGGGGATCTTGCCGGTTGCTATTCTCGGAGGTGGTTTCGACGTACCTGCAGGAACCTGGGCTGGAAGGAGTTAAGACGTACGTAACTGTGTACTTGCGTAACACTCGGGCAACCTGTCGAATAACATCTTGCCATCCAGGTGTTGGGCTCATTTTCACCGCCTTCATTGTGCGGATCGAATCGTACCGAGTGCCAAGAAGCTTTTAGGGAATGTGACAGTTTTAGAATCTTAGCGAGCGCATTGCACACCAAGTCTCGCCTGCCTTTCCTCCGTTGACTCCGTAAGGAATGTCGTAACACGTCGGAAGGATTTTGAGTATTTTCCGCCACCTGCGCTCAATAAACATGGCGTGCCGTCACCCTCAGACCCCAGTTCAGAAGTACTCAAATATCCAGTAGTTTGTGATGCACGCCCAGGATTCAGAATGTATTGCAACCGGCCTCTCGTGTCTTGACGTCTTGTATGGGCTCTTAGCCATGTTGTCACGCGGTTGTTAGCGGTTTTCTCCATTTTGGTGCCTCCTCAGAGGAGAAGAGAGATCATGTGTGTTGATAGACGTGAAGTGCGTGCAAAAGCAAGCCCCCCCCCCTTTTTTTGCGGACGCTTAGATCTTTCACAACGATGTGGAATTGTTAACATCTGCCTCTGTTATCTTGAGGACAGTCATGCTGTTCTGCACTGTGCTTATGAGGGTGACGACGTCTTCATAGGTGCTGCGTTTGTTAGACGCTGTTTCCCAATCAGATCAATGTTCACAATGGTCAAGATATTGGACCCTGCTTCCACGGAGTACGACATCCCTAGAGTGATGAATTTAATGCACCTGTTTGTCAGAACTACAAGCTTTATAGATACTGGAATGCTGGGTCTCGCAGTTGCAGCTCTTCAGTTGGCTGGCCCCGTTCTTGTCCGGGCACTCTAAGAAATGAGTACCAGGAATCTTCCTGGGGATTAAAGGGCAGATGGTGAATAAGGCTGACAACCTCATCGCCATCTGTGAGCCGATTGTCTAGAAAATGTGTGAGACTCAGCGTATCACAGCCCAGTAGTCTTCCGCAGCCTGTTATACCTTTTACATTTTATAAAATTACATCTTGTTTATGTTTTGCTGTAGGTTGTAATCCGTGTCACAAACTTGCATTAAGTAAAACTTTTTTTAAATTCTTCTTACTGTGTTTCAATCATAAATGATCATCATCAGGTGATGTACATGTATCAGCCAAATCAGCTCTAATCCAACCTAATTACTTTATTATTTTATCTGCGTGTTTATACAACAACAACAACTTTATATTTGCAGTCCGTATATATTTGGCTGCTTTGTGTACATCGCCTGGTGACTATACACTTTCAAAACTTTCTGTTAGTTGTAAGAAATGAAAACCAGTGGGTTTTATAATATAAGTGGGTGTGGTAGTTTATCAAATGACATATTGCCCAGTAAATGTTCAAAATATTTTGTATCACAAGGTTACTGTATTTACACATAAAGAAAGGCTTCTTAAAAATGTGTTATAGTAGCACTTTATAGAGGCCCTGTCGAGAAGTAATGATATCCAGCTGATTGACTTTTGTTTCTGTTTTTCAGCTGCAAAGTAAACGTGAGCAGTTTTTCAAGAATGAACTCCCACCAACCTCGTCAGCAACCACTGGTGGCAGCACAGCACTTCCCTCCCAGCAACCACAACCGCCAGCATCGGGTACACCGCCTGTCATCTCAACTACTAGTGCTATTAAAGAGGCCCTGGCGAAGCGTGTTGAACGGATAACTGAGAATCATATAGGTGGCAGTGATGTGCCGGATAATAAGGAGCGGTTTAATAAGGCAGAAAAAGACAAGGTTCCGGAGAGGCGGACCAAGGAGCTGGATGGTTATGTTGGGTTTGCCAATCTCCCCAACCAGGTGTATAGGAAAGCAGTTAAAAAGGGCTTTGACTTCACTCTTATGGTAGTTGGTAAGTTTTGGAACAATGTTATTTTTGTAAATATACTCAGATTTACTATTGTATTTACCTGTCTGAACTATTCTAATTTCATGATAATTTCTGTGATGTGGACAGTAGACGATGGAGCTAGCCTTTTGTCAGATTTGTTTGTAACGTTTGTCTTCATTAAAAAGATATCCCCCACCAGTCCACCACTTTGTAGGGTTGTCCATGACTTCAAAAGTTATGGCCTTATAAAACTTACAAACCACTGTGCTTTCTGGTTAATTTTTAACTCATCCACTGTTTGAGTATGTTAAAATATTGTGACATGTCAAGCCGTTGTTGGGCTGATTGCCAGCAGTAAGCTTCTGCTCTGCTGTAAGGAGCCAGTAATTGGCAGAACAGAAGTGAGTCAGTCAGTCGAAGCAGCCGCTGGAGGAAGAAGAACTGAACGCGTAATTATAAGATTTTATGTGTGATAATCAGTGATAGTGGTAATAACTGAGAAGCATTGGGTTATACTGTAAATAAGTGAAGACTACTGAAATAGCGTGAAGTGATTAGTGTGTAGGGTTTGTAAATTGTGTAAATCCGCAACAGAATTATAACTGATTGTAGTTACGACTTGTAAGTTGTTAATAAAACCAGTTAACAATCCAAACGGCATCCACAGACCAAACACGTTACAATATCATGGGTGTGATCATGCAGTGTGCTATGGGAACTATCAGACATCATGGGAATTGTTGCTTTATCACAACTGCCTCCATACCTCTACAGAAAAATGTTTTTAAAAATCGTTGATGTTTTGTTGTAACTGCTTCCATCCATCTCGTGTAATCCAGAAAGACATTGTTTTGAGGCATACACATATGTTGATTCATTAGCAAAGATGGTTTCTTGGAGGAGGCAGAGGTACAAAAACATTAATTTGCATGAATTCTGTAGTAAAACTCGTGCTATTGTATTAGTGAGAAGAAAGGAATTGTAAAAGAATTTCCCCCATGTTTTACATGACGTTGAATGCGTGAAAAAGATAACTGCAAACCAGATTTTCTCAATTTGCTGGATTCTAATTGTTTTCAGAATTAGGAGCAAAGTTGTGCAGCAGGGCCCAAAACTGATACACAGTAGCTTAGGAAGAAAGAGTGGGTAATTCTTGGTGTGGGGTCAGGACCTGGCAGCTGCTTCCCTTCCCCCTCAGCATATCCTCCTTGCTCCAAGTGGTCTCACATCTGGCGCTGCCTGCTGCTCCTTCCATTAAAATAAACAGCATTTCTTACCCTACTTAACTATGAATATATATGAAGGTTGCAGTGTTTTGTGATACCAGTTTCAGACATTTTATTGGTGCAGAAGTTTCTTCCATTGGTTTTTTAATAAAAATGGTAGCTTTGTCTTTATGCCCTCTGTATCATTCCTCCAATGCTGCGTCTTCATTCATCTCTCACCTTTCATTTTCATGGAGGAAAATGAGTGCACCAGAAGAGTGCATTAAGCAGTACAGTTACACCTTTTGAGATGATACAGTTTACCTTAAAACTGGAATAAAATAGCCTGTAGTGAATTGCCATGTTGAGAGATGTTTGCTTAGTGATTACAATACTTTTTGTCCTCACATTCTCATTGTCTTTCTTATGGTGGATAGACGTTAACTTGAACTTAACCTCATGCATATAACAGCAAAATCATCGCTCCATCCAAGTTTCTCTTCCAAAAGTGAACAGCATTTTGCCTACTGTTGTTAGTTTCTGAGATACAGGTGTGATGCACAAACCCTGAACAGCTATAGTGTGTATGCTTATCTGCTCTCCTTCTTAGTTTATATGATACAGACCATATTGGACAAAGACAGACTGTGGGAGAGAGAGTGAAGCTGGGATACCTTAGGCCAGGGGTCTCCAAACTTTTCAAAACGCGGGCCACATTAGGTAATTCAGCACTTTCAACGGGCCTGATAAAATGAGAAATTAATAACTCTGGGTATATGAGTTTTATTGAAAGCACAGAATTTCATAAACTAAATACAAAGTACGTGAGAATAAATTATCGTATATTAATGACAACAGGCAGTAGCAGCAAATGCTCATATTTTCATCACAAATTATAATAAAACAATTAATGTAAATGATGGAACTCTTTTAGCATTCTTAAAATCTGATTAAATTGGGGTTCAAATTTTGAAACGCTAATCACAAGTAGCGACCTTAAATGTTCATCGGATAAATTTGCCCTCTATTTCGACTTGATGTATTTCGTCTTGGAAAAAGTTTTTTCACACAGATATGTCGCCCCAAAAATGGAGACAAATTTACAAGCCGGCCATCGTAGAATGGACGAAAGCTCCGGTAGCCCTATCATCATTCCTCGCTACCAATTCTCGGAACAGTTAGAGCAAAACTGGGCATAAGTTTCCTTTAATACAAAAATGGTAATAAGTACGACACCGGCGGTGATGATGATCTGTTACAATTACACTGCACCACTGCAAGAAGTCTTGTGCACAAGACGGCTAGTAACGAATTGCTCGCGCTACCTACATTGCCACGAAGTGACACTGCCGATCGAGGCCGAACAAGTACGAAGAAATACCGCGCAGTATACGGTCCAGAATTAGTAAAATTGTGAATAATATTAATATTAACATAATATGGAATATCAATATATTTTAAACACAATCTTAATTAATGAATTTGAAATCTATGAACAAATATTTTTTACCAGTACCCACTGGAAAATTAGTTCAGTTGGCGCATTTCTGCACAATTCTTTCGCAGGCCACATAAAATCACATTGCGGCCCGTAGTTTGGAGACCCCTGACTTAGGCGGTATGGCTATGGGTTGCACTGCTGAGCTTCGATTCTGGCAAGGGCATGAGAATGTTCTCTTTCTGCAGCATCCAGACTTGCTCTGGGGCCCACCCAGTCACCTATCTGATGGGTACGTGGGTCTCTTTCCCCCTAGGGTAAAGTAGCCAGGTCTTGAAGCTAATCACTGAACTCAGTTTAGTGACAGAGCCAAGAATGGTGGAGCTATTCTTCCAGCCCCCCCCCCACACGTCTGTGCTTATTAAGTACAGGAAGTTTAACTACCAACCTACCCACCTACACATGTGCGCTCTCTCACTGTCACTGATTGATTGACTGACGTTAAAGTGGAGCTTCTATCAGCAGCAGATGATCTTACAAATGTCTCGGTACCAGGTGCTAGGATGTGCAGAATTGCGTTTAATTTCTAATCTCTAAGTGAAACACTGTCACATCCTCTAGTCATTTTCTAGTATTCCATATTAATGGATGTAGATTGGTTATGCATTAATGTTGACAGAAATTTTGGGGGGAATTATCCATTTTCTGCATTAAGAGTATGTGGCATCATGGAGGATGGCTTTGTCTTGAAGTAGAAGGAAAAGGGGTACGTGCTCAGCGGCTTCATTAGATAATGTCATTCTTTATCATTTATCCAGAGAGTGGACTCCCAGACTTTTTTTATATCACTGTCGGCTTTAGAGACAGGAACCATCTGTTTTGTTACCCATTTTGCTTTTCCTTTATCCTGCCCAACTGGATTAGTTCCCAAAATAATCTGTAACTGCTTCTTCCCAGTTCTCAATTTAGCATACATGGTTACCACCATATGCCATTAAGTAGTGACTTCCCTAGTTGATACAGCACCATCAAATAGCATGATAGCATCATGTTTTCAAAGACATGGTGCAACTATGTGAATGTCATGAAACTGAATTGTAAAGATGTATTTTAAAACACTTTTCGGTCTTTAACTGTAACATGATTTCTTTCTGTTGGTGTATTAAACAGAATAACCATAAGCATAAGCATCATTGTGAGAACCTCAAATCCAGCCAAACACTTTGATAACTGCCTGGGTTATACAGTGGTGAATGTAGGACTATGAATTCAAAAGGATATGGAAAGAAGCGATAGCTATTTTAACATGTTTACTGGAGGTACTGAGGAAAACTGAAAAAAAAATTAGTCAAAAGTAACTGCTGTTATGGGGATTATGATCAGACCTGGGACCTCCTGAACAAAATAGAGGAGTGTTTTTTGGGGGGAAGAACGTTCAATGAAGTGAAATGACATTGAGGCAACTGCAATATATATACTGCAATGAAAGAAAGAACAATTACTCGTACTTATGGAGAGCGATTATGTCATAATCAGGAGCTCCAGTAACTGGACTTTTTAGAAAGCTGAAAGTTAGCTTTTAAATAAAGAAGATGGTGTCTTTATTAATTCTGGCCCTTAGTGTTCGTTTGACCTACACTCTGATCTTATGAAGTTCCACTGACTTAATTAGAGACTATGTATAAGGAGAGATGTTCACTAAAGGTTGCATTGGTAGAGATTGCAGGGCGAGGGTGGGTTACTAAGGCAACTTCTTAATTGCCTGCCTCCACAATGTCTTCATCATGTGAAGCATGCTTTTCAGGACAATGCCATGTTTTGAGTTGGCGCTAGAGATGGTTTACTCCATGAGCTCCTGTGGATTAAGTTTAATGCTGCAAGAAATTCCTACAGAAAGAATTCTCCATTTTGATTGGTTATGCAGTATAATTGCAGAACACATGGAGTGAGAAAATTGAGAGATGGAAGAAATTAGTTGAGGGGCTTCACTCATTACCTAAGGTGATAAGAGTAATGTCATTAATGTGTAATATGGGGGAGGTGGCGCATGAGAATACCTTTAAACTGAGAAGATTGAGGTGGGTGGAACATATAGCATATATGGGGTCAGACAGATACATGTGTAACTTTAGTTGAAAAGCCACAAGGTGACATCTCCTTAGGAGACTATTATTATTATTATTATTATTATTGGAGGGGGTGGGTTTCCCCATGCACCGCGACTAATAGTCTATTGTACGTCCCCCTTTGATATTCTACCAGTCACCATACCCTACCAGTACTGGTGCGTGCTATCAGCCCCGTTCAGCCAACAAGGTCGGCCCTCGGTACCCAATGCTTCCCCCATCTACCAGAGGCATTGGAAACTACTTGGGCAG